CCACCCAGGCACCTCTATGTCTTTTCAAATTAGAATTTTAATTTTCTTCCCACAAATACCCAGAAGTGGAATTGCTGGATCACATAGTAGCTAGACTCACTAAGAAAATAGGGAAAGGCTTAAATACATAAAATTAGAAATGCAGTCAAATGCTCTACCCCTGAACTATACCCCAATAAAATCAGAAAAGAAAGAGAAGTTACAACTAATATTAAAAAAATACAAAGGATCATAGGAGACCACTATAAAAAATTATATGTCACATATTGGACAACTAGGAGAAATGCATAAATTCCTAAGAATAAACCATCATCTAAGACTGAATCATGAAGGAATAGAAAATCTATATAGACCAATTACTAGTAAGGAGACTCAATTAATAATCAAAAACCACCTAACAAACACAAGTTCAGGCCCAGAAAGCCTCACTGGTGATTTCAAACAAACATTCAAAGAAGATTTAATACCTATGCTTCTCAAACTCTTCCAAAAAATTGAAGAGGGGGTAAATCTTCCTAACTCGTTTTGTAAGGTCAGCATTATCCTATACCAAAACCGGAAGAGGATACCACAAAACAAGGAAATTGCAGGACATTATTTCTGATGAACCTAGATGTAAAAATCCTCAACCAAATATTAGCAAACCAAATTCAACAATAAATGAAAAGAATTTTTCACCATTATCAAGTGGGATTTATTCCAGGGATGCAAGGATGGTTCAAAATCCATGAATCAATCAAATATGACACACCACATTAACAAAATGAAAGATAAAATTATGTGATCATCTCAATAGATGCAATGAAGGCACTTGGAAAAATTCAGCATCCATTTATGATAAAGACTATCAATAAAGTGGGTATAGAGGGAATGTACCTCAACATAATAAAGGCCATATAGGATGAGCCCACAGCTAACATTACACTCAATGGTGAAAAGCTGAAAGCTTTTCCTAAAATATCAGGTACAAGACAAGGACGCCCACGCTCGCCATTTTCATTCAACATTGTATTAGAAGTCCTAGCCAGAACAAAGAATAAAAGGCATCCAAATCGAAAAGGAAGAAGCAAAACTGTCACTATTTGCAGACAACATTATTTTATATATAAAAAAACCCTAAAGACTTCACCAAAAATAACTGATAGAACTAAGAAACAAAATCAGCAAAGTTGCAGGATACAAAATCCATATACAAAAATCTGTTGTGCTTTTACATAGCAACAATGAAATACCACAAAGAGAAATTAAGAAAACAATCCCATTAACAATTGCATTAAAAAGAATAGAATACCTAGGAATAAATTTAACCAAGGAGGTGAAAAACCTATGCACCGACAACTATAAGACATTGATGAAGTAAATTGAAGAAGACAGAAATAAATGGAAAGTCCATGCTCATGGATTGGAAGAATTAATATTGTCAAAATGCCTAATCAAGCTACAGATTCAGTATTTCTATCAAAATTCTAATGGCACCTTTCAGAGAAATAGAACAAAAAGTCCTAAGATTTGTACAGAACCATGGAAGATCCAACTAGCTAAAGCAATTTTGAGAAAAAAAGAACAAAACTAGAGGGATCACAATTCCAAACTATATTACAAAGCTACAGTAATAATAGCAAGTAATGACCATGAACAATAAAAGCAACTCTCATAATGAGGGCTCAGCCTGTAGTTCAGGCCATGCTGACTCTGAGGAACTTGTGAGGTCAATTTACCCTGACGACTTCACATCCTGTCCCGTGGACTAAGGATATTTTGCAACTGTGCACACCTGGGACCAGAGCACAAAGCTAAACCTCACCTGTGGTTAAAGGCACTACAGTTTCCTATGAAACCTCTACAAGGAAAATAATACCATTTCTGGCTTTTGCCACTAGGTGGGACTTTACAACAGAAGTCAAATCTGGTGAGGCAATAGTGTCTGTAACAGGGTTCTTGAACTTCAACACCTTTGGTTGGACAATTCTTCGTTGTGGGGCTGTTCTGTGTGCATTGTGCAGTATCCAACACCAGGTCCCACCTCTCCCCTACCCACTGAATGCCTGTAGCAACCCCTGGGTTGTGACAACCGAAGTGTCTCCAGACATTACCAGGGTCTCTGTAGCTACAGTGTGTGTGTGTGAGTGTGTGCGTGTCCGCACGCACACGTGCGCGTGCTTAAAATGTCCCCTGGTTAAGAAGCACTGCTCTGGGAGAGCCTGGGTGGCTCAGTCGGTTAAGCCTCCAACTTCAGCTCAAGTCATGATCTCACTGTTTGTGAGTTGGAGCCCCTTGTCAGGCTCTGTGCTGACAGCTCAGAGCCTGGAGCCTCCATCAGATTCTGTGTCTCCCTCTCTCTCTGCTCCTCCCCCGCTCACACTCTATCTCTTTCTCAAAAAATAAATAAACATTAAAAAAAAGAAGAAGAAGAAGAAGAAGAAGCACTCCTCTGGTGGTTAAGAGCAGGGGCCCTGAAGTCAGACCATTTAAGTTTAAATCCCAGTGCCTGTGGTGACTTGATGAACACCCAACGAGCTAATAAACGTAAAGGTACCATGGCCATAGAATTTATCCTTCAAACCAGGGTAAATTGAGAAAGAAAGAGGGTTCAAATAATAATTTCATAAGTGGAGACTGTCCTAGCCAACAGGGATGTGTGATCAGTTCTTAAGTCTATAAACAGTGTCGAGCACTGGATGACTTGAATGCTCAGTGCTTTACATGTAGGATCTTCATTTAATCCCCTCAAGACCCTACATGATCAGTACTACTATTATACCCTCTTTGTATTTGAAAAGACGGAGACACTAGAAGCTAACTTGCCCAACATCACAAGGCGAGTTGTACAGTCTGAATTCTGGTCTTGACAGGTGAGTTTCCAAGCCTGTGTTCTTAGCCACATGCCCACACGTGCTTGGTTGGGCGGCCAGGGAAACAGCGCTGCTCAACATCCGTTGGTCTCCATGTGAACGACTAGCTCTAGGTCATTCACAGTTTCAATGTTAAGCCCATTTAAAAAGCTCAGTTTTCAGGGGTACTGTGATAAAAAGCAGACACATGAAAATCAGTGTGGAGCAGAAAATGAGAGTGGCAGTGCCCAATCTGATTCCCAGTTTTGTAGAGCTCAACAGGTCACCCATTGCACTAGGAAATCACTATGTCTACATAAGAATGAAGCAAAAAAAATTATTTTTTGTTTCCCCTGATGGCTACTAAGTTCTTAGGACATAAAATCTTAGTAAGTCATTTGGATCCAGGTGCCTAATAAATGAAACTGTTAGGTATTTCTTTTGGTTTAGGGGTGCCATGAAGGCAATGTAAAAGGAGAAAATTCAGGAACCTTTGCACTCATCATTTTGCAATTGGAAGAACTCTGGAGGCTAATTATGGAGAAAGCCATCTAGCCCTGACACCCCGCCCTGGTTGCCCACTCTGAGGAAGCCTATCCTGTCCCCACAGCACATTAGCCTGTGTTGATGGGATCCTCCCACTTCTGCCAACCACTCCTCCCCACATACAATTCTCTTTTCCCTCACACAAAAAAACTAATACACCCTGATCCCAGATAGTTGCCAAATCCCATGAGTTCCCTTTATTTCAATCTCTTGCCCTTTTTCAACAGTGTCAGGAAACAAACTGGTTCTGTTTTACAACTTGAATTTACACAAGGTTCCAGTTGAACATCTTCCACTGATATGCAGACGGATCCTCAGTTCAGAGGTCAACTGAGACACACGTGACACAGTGATAAGCAGACTGCATTTCCTCCCCACACAGCACCTCAGGCCGGTGTGCCAAATCCTTAATAAATACACGGACAAGTACAAGACAGAATGCACAACTGGGAGAGGCCTGGTAGTGTGGCAAGGGAGGGGGGGCAGGGGGCTGGTCAGGGAAGTAGTCACTGGGTCTAGGGCCACAAGCACATTTTTCATTCTCTAACTGCCTACTTTACTATAACAGAAAACTAGACACTATGGGTGTGGTGGGAAGGGGTGGGACAGGGGCAGGGGACCTGGTTGTTATTACTAATCAGGAGCCACCATGGACAAGTCACTTTCTGCTATGCCTCAGTTGCCTTATCTGTAAGGAGATTGGATTGCCTAGTGCTTCTCAAACTGGGGTGCCTGACACACATTCACAGCCTGTGTGTACACCTGAAGGTCTTGGAGAGTTTGTCTTTCTGGAGTGTCAAGTTTATTCAAGGTTTTTGGGGTCCCACTCTTTTTATATGAAAGCATTTTTATATCGTTGCTCGTTGCTCATAATGCAAAATTTACATGCATTTTTATTATAGTAACTAATAATTGATGACATTTTCAGGAGCAATTACTATATGCCAAGTGTTAATTTATTTATATAATCCTTACAATTACCCAATGAGATATTTTATTCCCATTTTATAGATGAAAAGAAAAACCTGGAGAACAGAGAAATAAAATAATCCACCCAATGTTACATGTTACTAAGCAATGCTAAAACAAACTATTCCCTCCCCCACCTTAAAATGTTACGGGCCCCTTGCAAAGTGCTTGGGAAGCCACCCCCAGACCCGTGGGACTTCTTTGATGAAGTCTGGGCAACACAGGACAGAAAGATCTCCAAAGTCCAAGTCCAGCTCTGACACTCTTAAATCAATTGTACTTAAATTGGTAGATTAAAGATTTCGAACACTGGTTGCCCTGGAGGATGAGGAAGCTGGGGAGGCCTTGCAGGGGTTCTGGGGGGTTCTCCAGCTGGGGTTTCCAGGGCCCTCGGCGCTCGCCCTACAGTCCGAGGGCGTGAGGCCTCCGCAGCGGCCGCCTCCTCTCGCCTGGCCAGGGTGTTTCCAGCGGCGACGCCTGGCGCTTCCTCGTTCCCGCGCTTCCCAGGCTCAGGTCACAACGCCCAGCGCCGGCGCTCCGGCGGCGGGAGGGGGCCAGAGATGTCGCAACCGCCTCCCTCCCTCTTTCCCCGCCTTGGCGCTCTGTCGCCTCCCAGAAGAGCGCGCTCGCAGACGGCTGCCGGCCGCCGGGCGCAGGGCATGTCCCCTGAGTGCGCGCAGGCGGCGGGCACCGGGTCCCCCCGCAGCCTGGAGCGAGCCAACCGCACCCGCTTCCCATTCTTCTCCGACGTCAAGGGCGACCACCGGCTGGTGCTGACCGCTGTGGAGACGGTCGTGCTGGTGCTCATCTTTGCGGTGTCGCTGTTGGGCAACGTGTGCGCCTTGGTGCTGGTGGCGCGCCGACGGCGCCGCGGCACCACCGCCTGCCTGGTGCTCAACCTCTTCTGCGCCGACCTGCTCTTCACCAGCGCCATCCCGCCCGTGCTGGCCGTGCGATGGACTGAGGCCTGGCTGCTGGGCCCGGTCGCCTGCCACCTGCTCTTCTACGTGATGAGCTTGAGCGGCAGCGTCACCATCCTCACGTTGGCGGCCGTCAGTCTGGAGCGCATGGTGTGCATCGTTCGCCTGCAGAGGGGCGTGCGGGGCCTGGGGCGGCGGGCGAGGGCCGCGCTGCTGGCGCTCATCTGGGGCTATTCGGCGCTGGCCGCGCTGCCCCTCTGCGTCTTCTTCCAAGTCGTTCCGCAGCGGCTCTCCGGCCGGGACCAGGTGAGCTCAGGGCGGTGCGTGCCCCGCAGGTGTCTGGGGCGGGCTGCCAAGGCGGGGATCCGACGGAAACGGCGACCTGGGTCGATGGATAACAAAGACAACAAAACAATAATGGGCCATTTGTTGCGCTTAATCGTTGTGACGCTGTGCCTGGCGCTCTGAAGTTTGAACTCTTAAATTTCACTGCAGCGACGTAGGTCCCACAAACGCCCTCCAAAACCTTGTAAGTGGGTGGAGTCCCCCAAATGCCTGTAAAGTGCCCTCTTCATTTCGAGGTTAGTGAAATAACGGGGAGCTTAGCGGCCAGCCAGATGGAATTTCGAGGATCCGGAATGGCTAATCACATTGCCGTATATTGAACTCTGCTTTCTGGCAAGGTGCTCACGTCTACATATGAGGAAGCTAAGGCACACAGGGGAATGACTTGCTCAGGGTATCTCATCCTTAGTGCCAGTTGGAGCAGAGACGGTGCACAACTGATTCAGTACAGGCTGGGTAAGCGTCCTGCTTTGCAGAGAGAGGGAGAAAGGGCATGGGAGACCCAGGGACCCAGACCCAACGCTGCCGCTAGGGGTGTTGTGACTTCCTCTCCCTGGGCCTCAGTTTTTCCAACTGCAAGACAGAAGGATTACACTAGACCACAGGACCTTGCCCTGGGAGCCTTGGATGATAGGGGGCTTCAGAGTACCCTGGGTGCCCGAAACGTTCTGCAAATTCCAGAGGCTGCTAGGTGAACTTTATTCTGAGCAGTATGCCCAGAGTTTGTCATTAGGACCTCAGTGGGGGGGGGAGGGGTCCACCACGTAAAAAAGGTTCTGTGGACAGTTCGTGACATTGGCTCTGGGGTAGCAACAGTTGCACAGTCCAGAATTGAGGGCCAGGTCTGTCGGCACTGCTGCCCCGCTGGGCAGTTGCAGAGTTTAATTCAGCTCGTGATTCGGCACGTGGGTGCTGGCCAGATGGAGGACAGTGGCTGCCTGTTCTGGCTGTCATCCCAGTGTGTTGGGTTCTCTATGCCTCATAGGGAGGAACAGAGAGAGGACAGAGTTCTGTGCACCACCATAAAGGAAGGGATGAGTCCTGCTCAGGGCTTAGCCTCTCAGAGGGGCTGCCCCAAGCTGGTTTCTTCACCTTCTCCTTTTCTCTACAACTCTCTGGGTTTCTGGCCTGAGCAAAACCCTCAAAAACCACAGTCCCAAAGAGAGGCCTGTGCAGTGATCAGAAGGAAGTGAGAATGTAGGAAGGCATGGGATGAGCTGTAACCTGGGGGAAGACTTCTCTCTGAGGAAGTGGACAGTCCCACCAGGGGATGCCCCATTGGGTGTCTCCTCTGGGGCACAGACACGGAGATGGGCTTCTCTGGGGCTTTCCCCACACCAGTCTCTCACACAGGACTCTTAGTGGGGTGGGGGGAGAAGGCTGCATCCTGTGTAAGCACTATCCTTTTTTATTTTTCACACAAATGAAACCTACAAGTCTCTTTCCCAATAGTTTATTTTTTGCATGGAATATCTTGTGGGATTTTTATTTAATTGTTTCGTTTTCATTTGCTTTAAGCCTTGAATAGGCAGGAATCATGTCAGGCCTATGGCTCTCCATCAAAGAACATGTAAGCCTGTGGCCACGTCCTCTCAAGTGGGGGCCAGGAGAGCTGGGATCAGCTGATTGGGTGGGGTGCCATTGGCCTGGTAGACCAAGGACCCTAACTTACTGGGTAGGCCTGTCCTCCTCAACCCAGCTATGGCTGAGAATCAGGGTGGGCCACTTGGATACTTCTAAAATAAGTGGAAGGCCAGGCCTCACCCCAGAGCCATTGGATCAGCTGGAGGCTAGGGTTCTGCTGTCAATCTTTTGATTTTTTTTTAAGTTATTCTCTCACTGAGTCACAGTGTTTCTGCATTTTTCACAGACCTTGAGAGGCTTTCCCCCATTTTATTAATACAGAAAAAACGACACTCGGGAAATTAAAGATCAAATAGAATAGGTCTTAACGGTATTTTATGTTCCAGACATGTGCCTTGTGCCCCTCCTTTTCACAATTGCTTTAGGTACACTTATACTTAACTGGCAAATAACATGAAAAAAGTGAGGTTTGTGTCCCCTCCCAGCCAAAAGCCCAGACTGTAACTGCTTGCCTACATGGAGACAGGTGGTTGTCGAGCGAGAAGGCCCTTGCTCAGATGGAGGATCTTCCCTGTTTGGTCACTCTGTGGTTGTGGTGGCTTTCACGCTGTCTGTCTCCTTGAGGGCTGAGCGCACAGACCCCCTTGTATTAACACAGAAACACCTCCTTGGTCATAAGAGAGGGAGAGGCACTGGTTGAAACCACTGGGAGAGCACCGGAGAAGATTGGGGGCCAGGTGAGTCAGCCACAGGAGCCCTCTTCCCCGACATTAGTAGAGGTGGGGTGAGGGAGCTTGGAATGAAAAACCAGGATGGTCCTTTCCAGCTCTCCAACCTCTTTGTCTTTGCCTCACCTGCACCCTTACTACATGTACCTGCCAGTAAGCCAAGGAACAGAAAATCTCCCCTGTCGCTCAAGCGCTGTGATCTGAGCATGTAGGAAACAACTCATTTTATAGGTGAGAGGATTAGGAGTTGAAAAAATAAGTTGAAAAGAGTAAGAAATGGGAGTGGGGTGGGGGGAGGGGCAGAGTGTGGACATGTAAAAAAAAAAAAGAGAGAAGGATCTAGGCTAGACTAAATGGAGTCTCACATTTAAAATTAGCAAAAGCTTGTTTTCTCAATCCTCCATTCCCAGCTTCCTGTCTAGATTCTGCCTGCCCCTTCCCACTTGGACACTAAATATGGAGGTTTTGGATGGGAGACACTTTCCTACCCAAACCACCGGCTGAGGAAACTAAGTAACCCCAAACACACACTGGCTGCCTCCTCTCAAGGAGCACTGGCCAGGGAAACAGTACCTCTCAGAGTTTTGTGCTATTCTGAGCGCCCCTCCTGCTCCCCCAAACAGGAACATGAGTACCTTTGTCCATTTGGGCAGTGGGTGCCTGCAATCCAGGGTGACCAGCCTCTCAGAACCCTTCCCTGAAGGGAGGATGAAATAATAGGCATGCTAAAAACTCTAGATAATTTGGTATTAGGAGTGTGCGTTTTGGAGTCCTATGTTCTGAGTCTGAATTCCATGTCTGCCATTTAGGAGCTGTGTGACAGAGGCAAGTGGTCCCATGTCTCTGTACCTTCCTTTCCTCATTTGCAGAATGGGCATGATAGCGGTCTCACATGGATTGCCATGGGGACTAATGTTCAGTAAATGGGCCACCACCTGGCACAGACACAGTTAAGCACTCAAGAATTACCAGCTATTATTAGTTTCCTTATCTTTGGTTATAAATATTTCAAACATTCTTCAAATAGTGTAATTCTCCTGATTGCTGTAAAATAATAGACTGCCGTTCTAAGAGGGTGGGCACATCCTGGCAACACAGACATCTCAGCCAGGTCACCTCAGCCTGCTCCAGCGGGATTCCTGCCAGTGTGTGCTGTGGCCCCGGCGGGGCACTGACCCTCAATGGCAGTTGGGGGGGACTGTGCCCCCCAGCCAGAATGTGCTACCCATTCATTGTACAAACATTTACTGAGCACCGTCCCCCCTGCCCTCACCACGAGTCACATGACCAAGACCCTGTCCTGTTCTAGGAGGTGCAGGTAATGAGAGTGCAGACGGTCTCAGATCCTGGCATCGAAATCCTACAAACAGGTGTTTGTTTGTTCATTTTCCGAAGGGGAAAATGCCTAAAGTCTCAGAGCAGGCAAGGGATGGAATCAGAGTTTCACCTGGCTCTGTGTCCCACCCACTTCGAGCCATTTCCTGCGAGTTCACATTTCCTTAGGACCCTAGGTCCGAATGCTCTGTCCTGCCCCAATTTAATACCAGGCCAGTCGTGTCATAGGGTCTCTGCTGAGGGCAAACTGGCTGAGGAGATAAACGCAAGTTTGCTTGCCTTTGTTAGTAGTAGAGGATCCTTTAAGATATAAGAAAGTTCATCTCTTGCCCTCACATATTCTTTCTTTTCCGGTTGGAAAGTGGAGAGACAAGGAGATACCCACTAGGATTCCCAGTTCCTTCAAGTGATTTCAAAGTCTCCCATTCTGTTTGAAGAGGTGGAAGGGAGAATGACTTACAAAGGGACCCTCAGGGATAGTCCAAGAAGTATCATTAGAGAAGGATGATGGGGAGCAGCTGGAATCGGGTGGCATCTGCAGATAAGTTAGCCAGTGTGGAGAGGGCGAAGTGTGGAGCAGTGCCTGTAGACAGACGCCCCCATCCACCGGGGAGTCTTCTTGGAAGAGAATGGGTGATATCTCAGCTGTGTGTGAAGACGAAAGGCAGTTAGCTAGTCAAGGACGTGGAGGACTGGAGGGACAATACAGGCAGAGGAAATAGTCTACAGGTTGGCAAGACATGGTGCGGGAAGGGTTGGTGGAGGCCAGCTGGAGAAGGGCCAGGTGCGGCCCTTTAGGGAGTTTGTACTTCCAAGGTGAAAGATGGCCTGGTCCGGGAAGGGTGGGCCAGTGCGAACAAAATACGTGGGTCCGTCGGATAACAATGAAGGCAGAACATAGGGAGGAGAAGGCAGGAGGCTATGCTCAGGTTGCTGGCAGCATAGAGAATGGCTTCTCCAGACCCTGAGTCAGTGAAAGCAGGAGGTGGAGCCTTTTGGAGTGGGGCATTGGAGGCTTGACATACCTGGGAGGCATCCTTCAGAGATGTCCTCAGGACCCTGGGACATCTGGGACATCCTATCTGGAAGACAGGAGAAGACAGGGCTGGAAAAAGCAGCTGCAACTTGGAAACGAAGCCATGGAAATGGATGAGATCACTAGGGAGAGGGAGAGGTTGGGATCAGGATACAAGTCAGGCTTAACCACATAATACCCTTGTATGTGGCCCCTGACTCCATCCCTTCTGGTCCTGACCCTGAGCTCCAGCCGGCCCATTCTCCTGACTGCAGCCCCATCCCTCTGGGCACAGCGGACACCACCCCTCTAGGATGCCACTCGCCCTCATGACTGTGCTCTCCTGTCACCTGGAGCTCTGGGCATTGCCAGCTCACTGCCCTGTATGGAAGTTTCTCAGCGCTTCTCTCTCTCCTTGAGCACATCATAGCCTCCTTGAGGGCTGGGGCCTCGGCCACTGTGGCTGGAGTCAGTGAGTGACTGAACAACCCCATTAAAGGACAGTTGTTGACTCGGCAGCTCTGCATCTGTAGCTCAGTCATAAAGGGGACCTAGCACTTCTGGTTTTCAAATTTCCTTTTTAAAATCAGGAAACACTTCAAATGCGCAGAGAAGCTACAGAGAATATTGTAAGACTCATGTCTCTGCCTTCCAGACTTGACTCACTGCCACACTTCCTCTTAAGTCACAGGCTGGGTCAGAACACCTAGAATCAAAATTACGTAAGTTAGACGGGTTTTCCCACAAAAACACAATTATATACCAAACCAGCACTCTGACTTTGGGCCTGGTGCCTGCTGTTAAATTTCTTAATGAAAAGAAGCTCTGCGCGTAAACAGTGATACCATATAAAGCTTTCTGAAGAGCATATAAATCAGTCATTCAGTCCACACAGGCCAGCCACACTGTCTCTTCCATCATGTGTGAGGTGCTGTGCAAAGTTCTTATCTCACTTCCTTATCACACTCCGGGCCTGGGAGAGCACCGCAAATCCAAAGGTATAAAAGCATCTCTCTCAGAGTCATGAAATTGGGATGGGTTCATTGTTTTTGTTGAAAAAATAGCTGGTTAGGTTTGCTAAACTATCATGGTTTCATGTTTGATCATTTCTTTTAAAAAATAACTTTTACTGCCTTTTTTGGCACATTCTAGAAAATTCAGAAAAGAACAAAAACAACTTGAGTCCCACCTAGAAACAGACACTTAGTTTTCTGGACTGTATCCTTCCAGTCTTTATTCTATGCACCCATGCGTGTAGGTGTGTATCTATTCATTCACACCTACACATTTTCTTCAACAGCACTGGGCAAAGCAGATTGCTTGGGGATCTACTTTTTTGCCCCTATTGTAGGGAGAATACCCAGCTCTATCATTACATATTCTACAAAATGGTGTTAAGCCTGGAGAGATTTTGGCAGATATTCTGGAGAATGCTTTTGGAAAGAGTTGGGGGCCCTTGGGGGTTTTAAGAGATGGTTCTGGGGCTTTCAGCCCTTCTGGTACATTTACCCATCTCAAGTACAGAAATCTGAGACCAAGTCATATCCAGGGCTGAAATCTGTCTCTTCCGGTTGCTGCTTCAGCATATTTGCTGGAATGTGTTGCCCACCGATGTAGTAGAATGAGGGGTCCATGGCGGCCAGAGGTCTGAGAACCAATCAAGCAGCAAGGATTAGTTATCTAAAGGTAATCACCACACCGCCACTATTCAGAGCTTTGAGAGACACAAGTTTCTTTGCAATCACCAAAATGTAGAAAGATCTAATGGACCTTCTCCCTCAGGTGTGGACAGTGGGGGTGGGGATGGAAGAACACGTTTTTGGAATTACTAGTGCATTTGTGAGCCATCTAAACAAAGGTAGGAAAAGGAAGCAACATTCTCATCCTCCTTTTCGAGGTGAAAATATGGTCAAAGCATTCTTCCCTGCTTGACTTGCCTTAGAGTTTTCTTGGTATGTCTCTGGATTTCTTTTATAACTTCTTAGCTCTCTTGGGAAGACATTCTATGATTAAAAAGTACTATACCTTTAAGTGTCTTAGATTACTGTTTTTGGAGGGTGTTTCTAAGCCTTAGTTTTCTCGTCTGTGTAATGGGAAAAACCATAATATGCATTTCAATATGGTTGCTGCAAACATTCAATGAAATAATGTATTTAAAGTGCTCACTGGCATAGAATAAGTGCTCAGTGAATATCAGATTTACTATTTTCTGTTAGTAGGAAAAGAAGTGACTACTTGGCTGAATTTTGAATTTGACCACCAATTGTGATATATGTGATGAAAGTTCTTTGCCCTTGCTTAGTGTAGCATTCAATAAATATAGGCTGAGTGAATAAATGAGTGATGCTATAAGTAATACTACTACATTGGGGTGTCTTGGTGGCTCAGTCTATTAAGCGTCTGACTCGTGATTTCTGCTCATGTCTTGATCTCATGGTTTGTGAGATCAAGCCCTGTGGGCTCTGAGCCAACAGCATGGAGCTCACTTGGGATTCTCTCTCTCTCCCTGTCTCTGCTCCTCTCCTGCTCACTCACTCTCTCTCAAAGTAAATAAATCAACATTAAAAAAAATACCACTACTCCATTGGTTAAGATGTCTCATCCATCAGAAGTCAATAATGTGCTCCTTTTACACAAAATGTGCTCTTAAAAGTCTGTTCTATATGTTCAGAGTGTTCAGGACAACTTGCTCTCTAAAGTTCTGTTTCTACAGTCAAGTACACGTGGGGAATTTGTGTTTGGGAGGAAACACAGACAGACAAACAGACAGGCAGACCACTGACCCATCTGATGGAGTGGATTATTCCAGTAGCTCCCAGTAACCACATAAGAAGGTCCCCGTATGCCTCAAGGTGTGTAATTACTGTCAATTGCCTGAATTCAGCCCAGCAGACTGACAACAGCAAAGGTCACAAAGCATGCTTTTCTGCCCCATTCTGGCGGTTTTACACCTCGACCGATGGAGAATAGTGTGTGGCTGTAGCGTGCTCCCCTGGAGGAGGGACACAGGAGGAGAGAGCTTCCAAGTCTGGACACCACTATCGTCTTGGAGTTAGCCCTGCCTTCTCTAATGCGGCTTGACACATTTTAGACATCCTCATTCCCCTGAATGAGCACTCAGTGTCTCCACATGGTTTCTGGTGCCTTCAGCAGTCCCAATGTGATGCACCGAAACCCTGTGCCTGTCACTTCCAGTCTATGTGACCTTTCAGGGCTCAGGGTCTCACCTGTAAAATGAAGAGAAGGCTCAAGGGCTCTTTGCAGCTCAGTCCAGGAAGTGGAAAGAGCACTGGGCCTGGAGTCCTGCCTGGGAGCTAACTTGAGCCATTACCTGCATGTGACCCTGACACCCAGCTGTGTCTCCTGGAGAATGGGAGTAACAATTGTGGGTATTCTGTGGGTCTGTAGGGGTGGTTGTGTGGGCACGGGAAGGGAGGCTGGGGTTTCCTGTCATCCTGGTTGTGTTACAGTAACACAACAGTGTAACAGTGTTAGGCACTCTCCTACTGGGACTGAGCTCAAGGCAAACAAGAAACCACCACTTAAATGGCATTTTCTTCCCTCTTGTAACCAGGAAATTCCGATTTGCACACTGATTTGGCCCAGCATCGCCGGAGAAATCACCTGGGATGTGTCGTTTGTTACTTTGAACTTCTTGATGCCAGGATTGCTCATTGTGATCAGCTACTCCAAGATTTTACAGGTACGTGCACTTCGAGGGCCATGGCTGAGCCGCATCCAGGCCGAGGGTGTTTCGATGGAATCTTAGCCTTTCCAGGGGGCAGTTACCTGGGAGTTCATGCCCCAATCCCAGCCTGGCTCACCACCCAGATCTACTCCCTCTGCAACACCAAGGAGTGAGAATGTAGTATTTTTTAAAGTTATATCTTTGTGATTGTTAATATTATTATTATTTTGCTGATCACTAAAGTAATACAAAGCTCGTTATAAAAAATTAAATTAAAGGGGCGCCTGGGTGGCTCAGTCAGTTTAGCATCTGACTCTTGGTTGCGGCTCGGGTCATGATCTCACGGTTTGTGAGTTCGAGTCCCACATTGGGCTTTGTCCTGATGGTACAGAGCCAGCTTGGGATTCTCTCTCTCCCCTCTCTCTTTCTGCCTCTCCCCTGCTTGCACTGTCTCTTTCTCAAAATAAATAAAGTTAAAAAAATTAAACAAAATTAAAGACATATAGAAATGCGTAATATAGAAACTAAACATCTACTCTCATTGTTAATGGTTCAAAGTACATTTTTCAGGTTATTTTTCTTATAAATATGCCTATATGCATACTTTAATATCATATATATATGATAAACCATATAAAATGGTCAAATATCAACTTTCACCATGGTTCAACCCAATGTTTCTTTGTTTCAGATTTGAGATAACACTATTAGCTCTGTAATTTCCTTTATTGGCTTAACACTATACTGTAATATCTTTCCATGTTTGTTTTTATATCACTGTCTCACTCTTTTTAGTGGCTTCCTGGTCTTCCACCATATAGATGTGACATAATTCATTTTATGGGCTTTTGGGTCGAGTCCATTGTTACCCCATCACAAATAGCAATACAGTGATAGAGAATGTACACTTTAAAAAAATTGTATTGAAGTATAATATGCATCTAGAAAAGCATAGCCAGCATGCATGTACAATGCACAAACTAACCTCACTCCCAGAAGCAGCTTCCAGAAACAGAACGAGAAGCACAACATTCCCAGAAGCCCCCTCCTGTTAGCTTCCCATTGCTACCCCACACTCCCAGTTGGAAGGTCCTTTTCAAATGCGCGCTGAGCCAGGAAGTAATCTCTAGCTTGGAGGTGTGTACAGGGACGTAGACAGGACCCTGTCAGCCCGTGTCCCACCTCCTCAGGTGGCCCATTCACATGTACAGCGCTAGCAGGCAAGCAGCAGGTACGTAGATGTTCATGCCCACCTCAGAAGGTTTTGTGCAAAACCTCAAATCCTCTTGAAGGTTTACAAGTTGTTGAATCTTGGGTTTATTGCGTGTTATGGGTTATCTGGCAAACAAATTTATCCAAGTGGGGCCCTGTAGGTCCTGTTTGCTATCTGGCTACTTTTATGGCCTTTTCTTTGTAGCTGAGGATCTAGAACCTTCTTAGCTGCTCAGAACCAGGCCAACTTCCATCTGGATCTATTAATTTTGGGTCCTGTGGGAGATGGACCCCCAATCTATTCCCTAGACTCTTCCCCACCTGTTGACTTGTGATCCGCTTTAGTGACCCCCAGCCTGGGGCTTGTTCAAGGGTATAAGACAGATTCAGGCCTGGAGTCAAGGTCAATAAAGCACTTGTAGTAGGGGCCTGGCATGTGTCGATGCTATGTAAGTGTTAGCTATTATTGCCTTAAAAGAAAATCAGTGAGGGAATAAGGAAGAGAAATTTAGAATGAATCCCTTAAAAATGATTTAATAAATATTTGTGTAATACTTACAATGTGTCAGGAATGAATTCATATAATCCTGATAAAAATTACAGATGAGGAAACCAATGTACAGAGAGACCAAGTAACTTGCCCAAGAGCACACAGCTCATAAGCAGCGTTATCAGGATTTGAACTCAGGCCATCTGGCCCTGGAGTCCCGACACTTTAATTCCTCAGACATTTGTTAAGGATCTGCTCTGTGCAAAGTGTTGGTGGGGAGTGGAGATTGGTCAAGAGTTATCAGGTCACATTTTTTTTTTTAATACAGAAGGGGCCTCAACATAGGAAGGGAAAGGGGAGACAGACAGCGGGACTGTTGCTTGATGCAGTGAGCCCTTGGCACACATGACAGAGTGACGTTAGGACTCAGTGTGAAGACGCTTGGCAAACCATTAAATGGTGCACAGACATAAGAAATGAATAAGGGGTAAAAAGACAGAAGAGCAGAGGGCCGTGAAGGGCAGACATGGAGACATGAAGGGCTCTTCTAATAACCTGGCTTTTGAGTTCTTGCTGTGTGGCCTTTGGCAAGTTACTTACTTTCTCTGAACCTCTGCTCCCTCATCTGCAAAATGGTGATGATAACTCAGACAGTGCACGGTTGTTGGGGGACATGTCAGGGATACTACCACAACCCACAGGGCCATGCCTGCCTGTAGGGGGTGGGGTGAGTAGACTACATCTGTTGTTATTTGTTAGGCAAGGCTGTTCCTCTGACCCTACTCTCAGAGCATGATGGGAAAAGGTACCCCTGAGAGGTTTTGAGAGAATAAACCGCAGGGCCCAGATTTGGAGTGTGGCAAGAGCTAGGAGCCGATGCTGGGAAGGGGCGGTCATACTCCTGGGTTCCTTGCAGGCCACAAGGGCCCCCGTCTGCCCCATTGTACTTCACCCGAGACACCTCAGCTGGCTTCTGACGGAGGATTGACCTACTCCACGGAAAGGTTTCCCACCCTCTTCCGTCTTTTTCTCAGGCCAGGGCCCACGCAGAAACATTCTAGGAGACCCCAAGAGCCCTGATGAGTTGGGGGAGGTGTCCTCATATCCATCTGCCTCTAGACTCCAGTTCATCACTTTCCAGGCACTTTGATATAAACCCATGGCCAGCTTTCAGTTCCTCCCGTCACAGACTACAGGAGAATATCTATCATGACTCACAGTTATGAAACAGTGCTCTGAGTAGTGACTCAAAGGTACCATTTAGATCCCACCACTTCTCTCATGTGTGGAGCAAACCTCAAAGCCCTCACCTTGAGGCCTTGTGTGATCTGGCCTCTGCCTGCCCTCTCACCTCATCGTCTTACCCTCTCTTGTGTCCACCTTGACATTGGGGCTATTCCTCACACACGCCAACACACAGCTGCCTAAGGGCCTTTGCACCTGTGATTTCCTCTCTCGGATCTCCAGTCCCCCAATTACTGTGTGGGCCACTCCCCCCACTCCATTTAGGTCTCTGCTCAGAAGGCCCAGAGTGCCTCGTCACCGTTCTCTAGTCCCTCATCACCCTGATATATTTCTCTTCAGTGCACTTACCACCCCTGTCATATTCCATTTACATGTATTTATCTGTAAAGCATCTGTTTTACGCACTAGAATGCAGGCTTCATGAGGACCAAGACTTTGTTATGTTTACTGCTGTAGCTCCATGCCTAGCACAGAGCCTGGCTTATTCATTGTAGATACTCAGTAAACCCTCACTGAATGAGTAAGACAAACTTTGGATCACACTGAAAGGGCCAACTGTACCTTCTCCTTCTGGGCAGTGGGGAAATCACTGAACAAAAAGTCCTAAGACCTTGCTTCTAGTCCAAGCTTTATTACTGTGTGACCTTAGGCAAGTCATTTAACTACTATGGGCCTCAGTTTTGTCTGGAGTTAGTTAGGCCTCAGTGGGTTAATATAATAAAACGAGAGTGTAGATATGATAATATTTTGAACAGGTTACTAGACTTTAATTGGAAAGGTATCTAACATTGTGATTTTGAAAATCACGTTAATGCAAATGTAAGACTTTTAAAAAATGACTTTCCACCCACTAGCCAAACTTACTATTGCCATTTCCCGTGAGGACTATGAAGTTTGTCCTCACTTTGGACCTGTGGGTTTGCCAGGTGGGTACCTTGGAAGCAGGTAAGCTGCCAGGCAGATGGAGTGTTTGGATGGGGCCTCATAGCTTGTGTGTCTCTCTCTCGCTGAGATACTTGTCACTCAGGGACGCTGGGCCACCTTTCCAGCTGAAATTTTTCTGTCAAGAGCATACTCTGTAAAATGAATTGAACACCAATGTTAATCAGCTATTTCCATAGAGACATGACCAGCAAATCATTGGAAACCCCAAGATGCATAATTCCACCTGCCATCCCCTTCCCACCAGGTCTACCTCTTACCTGTTGGTACTGTCTCTGCCTCAGTTTCCATCTACAGGCCTGGGAAGTGCCTCTCTGAAATCACCCTGATCCTTTATTCCTCTAAAGACAGTGTCTCCTCTACAGCACTCTCTAGGTCTCCTTGGGCTGTTAGATGGTAAAAAGGGAGTCCGTGATCAAATGAGTTTAGGAACCACCAATGAGTCCATGTTAAATGGGTTTCTTTGCTGCAGGATGTCTGGGAGGCCTCATTATGCTAATGTCCTTTGAGAGTTCCCACCCCAGGAAGAGAGGAGGCAGCACCCCTAACTCTGACCACAGACCCGCTTCTCCTCCCAGAGCAACTCTCTGCACTGTGTTCTTTGGGTCTCTTTTGGGGAGCATTGCTCTGAAGTCCCTGCCGGGCTTGCTGGCTCTGCCCTGGGCAAGGACTGGAGAGCAGGCTTCACCTGGGCTCTTCCCTTCCAAAGTGGCTTCACGTGCTCAGGGCAGTGGCCTTAGGAACAGCTCTGCCTTCCCTGCTTCCTCTTTTCTCATGACTCCAGCCTGCTATATATCTTTAGTGGCTTTTTCCAATCAATAGTTTCCCAGGGTAATAGTGCCCCAGTCACTCCCAAGTGCCTCCAATCAAGCTGGCAATGCTAGCCATTGAGGCTTGGTTTACATTGTCACCCAGCAACCACTGCCGTGCGAAGAAGAGATTCTTCTATCCTTTCTTGTCCCCTCCTCATTCTCTAGGTGCACACTAGAAGGGAAGAGTAGCGGGGGCAGGGCCCCCTTCTTTCTGGCTGTATACCCAGCACCTTGAGAGTACTTGGCACAACACGATAGGGTTGTACAAAAATAAATATTTGCTGAATGAGAGAACGAGGGTATTGCTTGAGGTTGGAAAACCCTCACCCATCTCAGGGCTCAACTGAGAAATGAAGTCTGTTTTAGCTAAACACGAAGGTGTTAGGTAGCAAATATTCAGCCCTTTCTCCATGCCTGGCCCTCAGTGCCCAGGTGTGGGGCCTGCTTGCCAGTGATGGAGAGGGAGGTGGGCCCTCTGGAAAGATGGAATCTGTTGTCAGGAGATTCTAATCTGTGTGTTGCCAGTTGACCAAGCAGCGCCCCAAGGAAACCCAACTCCCAGGGCCCAAGCTGTGTCAGTGGGGAGCCACTTCCCCCTGCACCCACCTGTCAGCACCATGGTATGGTGGCATGGTGACAGGGATGTGAAGTGGAGAGAAGCTTCCCTTGGGGCCTTCGGACACTCACATGGGTGTGAAGGCAGTATGTTTCAAAAGGACCGTTTAAAAAGTGACTCTTTGGGGCGCCTGGGTGGCTTAGTCGGTTAAGCGTCCGACTTTCGCTTAGGTCATGATCTCGCAGTTCGTGGGTTCGAGCCCCGCGTCGGGCTCTGTGCTGACTGCCAGCTCAGAGCCTGGAGCCTGTTTCAGTCTGTGACTCCCTCTCTCTCTGACCCTCCCCTGCTCACGTTGTCTCTCTCTCTCTCCTAAAAATAAATAAAACATTAAAAAAAAAATTTAAAAAGTGACTCTTTATGAAGAACTGTAGGAAAATTCCAGATCTGTTGTCCTGTATTAGCAGTTCCCATACTTCGGTCAGCAAAGATCACCTGGGAGTTTGTGAGAAGTACAGTTTTCTGGGCCCCCTCAGACCCACAAAAGTGGGTGTCTGACGGTGGGCCCAAGCACTCAACCGGTGACTCTGACACAGGGGCCATGGACCACATCCCTGGGAGCATCGTCCTCCCCTGGGAGCTCCTCAGTGAAGAGCTCAGACGCCTTCCCTGAGGTGCACTTCCCCTCCACCTTGACCATAAGACCTTGGACGTTCCTTCCCCTCTCAGAAGGAGAGCCTTCATCTTTCATACCCCAAGTGGGGTAATGACAGAACCTACCCTGCAGGCTTGTTTTAAGGATTAAAGTTAATCTTCAAGTTAGTTGAGCATTTAATTTCTTCTAAAACACATGAAGCATTCTGTGCAACAACAGAGACATTTTAAAGCCTGGATAAAAGTTAATCCATCTTGTCATCTAATGTGGGGTGGGAAGAAGCAAGGAATTATAATGACGCCCTGAAAGTCATGGGAACCATGGGCAGAGGAAATGGTGGCATCAGTCAGTGCTAAAAACACACCCAACCACTTATTCACTCGACCCATGAGTCAGTCCATTTCTCTGTCTGTTTGTTCACAGTCACTGTCAGGCACTTGCTAGAGTCCCAGGCCACAGAAGCCACAGGGCTGCCCATGGAGCCTGCAGTCTGGTGGCTGTTAGAAGTAACAATGATGCTTTAGCATCTCCCACATGGCCCATGTGGCAAGGGCCACGTGAAGACAAAGCACTGCAGGATGCCATGTGGGCGATGAACCAGGAAGCCTTTTTGGAGTTTCTGGCACCAGAGAGTGGAGTTAGTTATAGGCCAGGCAGAGGGATTTCCATTGGTGGATATTAGCAGAGGGTAGGAAGAAACTCATTTAAGATTAAGAGCATGGGCTGGAGTCAGGCTGCCTAGGTTTGAAGCCCAGCTTTGCAACTGCTTAACTGGGTACTGGTGGGCAAGTTCCTCAGCCTCTCTGAGCCTCAGTTTTCTTATCTGTAAAATGGGGATCATCAAAGTACCTATGTCACCGAATTGTTGAGAGAATGTAAAGAGATAATTAAGAGATATGTACAGAACCTGGCACATAGTCAGTGCTCAATAAATATGAAATCACATCAACATCATTCAAAAGTATGTGTAACACACAGTATGAGGGACTCCATCGTTCTGGGCAGGGCAATGTGGATGGCATACACGATGAGGCCCCTGTTGGAGGCATCCCTTATGTGTCCCCCCTGTGAGGTGACCATCCCCTGTGGCCGGTTATGGCATCTGATCTCCATGTAGTTGGTGGAGACCCTACTGACCAGGGGTTCATTCCCAAATGGCTTGCCTCCTGGGCCCTTCCCAGAGCAGCTTGGCTTTCAGGCTGACTCCTGGAAGCAGCTAGCAAATGACCGGCCTCCCATCTCAGCCACCTTCCATCCCCCACCCCTCCCACAGGGGCCTGTGGCAAGACTAGAACCCATTTCAGCTGCTCCTGTGAAAAGAAGGAACCAGATGTGGGGGTTCAGTGCTCCCTGTCTGTCTGGACTGGCCACACCCTCACACCATCTCCCACTGCCCTCTCTGCCACCCAACAACCTGGAGGGGCAGGGAAAAAGACAAGTGTGTGGGCCACCACTTAAACCAGTACCCTTAGTCCCCCCCCCCCCCCCCGCCCCGCAAAGGCTAATAAGACCCGTCCAGAGGGGTCTGGATAAATCCTGGTACAGGATTCCACAGTATGGAATCTTTGCAGCCACTTCCCAGATAACAAGGATGATGTACCTTCTCTCTGGGCTGATGTGGAATGAGTACCAAGGTATGCTGCTGAGTGGAAAGGAAAAAAGGTTAAGAGTGGGGTGTATTGTGTGGTCCCATTTGTGTGCAAAGCAAAAGTGCAGACATCTGTGTTTCCATCACCAGGCAGAGCATTCCCAGAAGGACAGACAGGACACTGGTCACGGGTTCCTTCCAGGGAGTAGATGCGGACAGTACAGGAAGCTAGAAGCCTTACTTATATTTTTAATTTGATCTCCTTCAGTATCATGTTGCTTGAATTTGTACCTTGAACATCACATCTGCTTTTAAAATTTTTTTAGTATTTGAAAAAAAATTTTTTAGTTTATTTTGGAAGAGTGAGCATGAGGGGGGGTGGTCAGAAAGAGGGGGAGAGAGAGAGAATAAGAGAGAGAATCCCAAGCAGGCTTTACACTGTCAATGCAGAGCCCAATGCAGGGTTCAATCTCATCAATCTCAAGATCATGACCTGAGCTGAAATCAAGAGTCAGATGCTCAAATGACTGAGTCACCCAGGCGCCCCGAACACACACTGCTTTTATACGGTTACTTACTGACCTCTTTCAAAAATAGAAATAATAAGGAAAATGTGTGTCTTGGTTTGTTTGGGCTACCATAACAAAATACCACAGATTGGGTGGCTTAATAACAACAGAAGTTTATTTGTCACACTTGTGGAGGCTGAGGTTGAAGGCTAGGATGCCACCCAGTCAGGTCCTGATGAGAGCTCTCTTCCGGTTGCAGACTGCCAGCTTCTTGGTGTCTTCACATGGTGGAAGGGCCGAGGGAGCTGGCTTAGGACTCTTTTCATAAGGGTCCTATTCATGAAGGCTTCATCCCCATAACCCGATCACCTCCCAAAGGCCCTGCCTCCTAATACCATAACCCTGGGGGTTAGGTTCTACCATTTGAACTTAGAGGGACACATTCAGACCACAGCAATGTGCTTCCATTCACACATTTCTCTTCTAGACCATTCAGTTCAGCCTTTCCACTCCTCAGCATCAACTCTATTTACGTTATGGACGGGGGCCATGTATCCAGAGGGCCAGCCAGGTGCCCCATTTCCCCCAGAGCATCCTAAGTGCAGGCAGTTGCCAGGCCACTGAGACCGGCCCTCTCCACACAAAGTTCCAAAGTCGAATTGTCCCAGGGCAGCAGGGATGGCAGATTCCCACTTCTAGATGATCTGCTCCTCCTCAGCCCAAATCCCTGACATCCTACAGTGAATATGTGGCTCTGGCTCTGTTTTGTGTCCCTGCAGATCACAAAGGCATCAAGGAAAAGGCTCACGGTGAACCTGGCTTCCTCGGAGAACCACCACATCCGCGTGTCCCAGCAGGACTTCCGGCTCTTCCGAACCCTCTTCCTGCTCATGATCTCCTTCTTCATTATGTGGAGCCCCATCATCATCACCATCCTCCTCATCTTGATCCAGAATTTCAAGCAGGACCTGGTCATCTGGCCATCCCTCTTCTTCTGGGTGATGGCCTTCACGTTTGCCAACTCAGCCCTGAACCCCATTCTCTATAACATGTCACTGTTCAGGAATGAATGGAGGAAAATTTTTCACTGCTTCTTCTACCCAGAAAAGGGAGCCATGTTTACAGATACATCTGTCAAAAAAAATGATCTGTCAATTATTTCCAACTAATTAAATTTTCTCTATGGGCAGAGTTTATCACCTTCTGGGAAGCCAGGATATGCTTTCAAAGGGAGTTTATTTCCAGGACCATCACATCACTGTAGCCTGCTTTAAGAAAACGTAACCTATACAAATACACATTTGTAGCACCAATAAATTAGGGTGATCATTCAGTATGACAATTTTACCCTTTATAAAAGGATTTGTTATGGGTTCCTTTTAAACATGAACTTTTTCCAGTGTGTTTGTAATATTATTAGTTTAATAAATTTTTATTTATGGCCATTCAGCAATCACGTCTCTTACATATAAAGCCACATCATGCTGGAGTGAGTCTTGGAAATGATCTAACACTCAGGTTTTTCCTTGAAGGGTCACTGCCACTGTAGGTCCCCGCCCTAGACTTTCAAGGCCTCAAAACTATTCAATAAAGTCAACAAAACTTGAGGAATTTCCAAAAATTCCAAAAAACTAAAGTGACTTTAGTTTTTCACTTATAAGAAATCCATGGACCTCTTTGGGAGAAGCCATGTCATGAAATCAGAGAAGAAATAGGATGATTCAAAACACTGAGAGTGAGAGCATAAGCAATTCCCTCCACGGAGCCACCTGTCAGATACCTCTTAAGCCCATGCTGTGGCCAGTGTTCTTGGTGCTGGGAACACAGCAGTGAATGAGACAGCCATGGCCCATGCCTTTATGGGGGCTTACTTACCTTCTATCTGGGGGAAGAAGATTAAACAGAAATCGGTACATAATATAGCATTATAGAGTAGATTCACATCATGAAGAAAATAGGATAGTGATAGGGTGCATGGGTGGCTCAGTCAGTTAAGTGTCTGACTGGCTCAGGTCATGATCTCGTGGTTCCTGGGTTCCAGGCCTATGTCGAGCTCTGTGCTGACAGCTCAAAGCCTGGAACCTGCTTCAGATTCTGTGTCTCCCTCTCTCTCTGCCTGTTCCCTGCCCATGCTCTGTCTCTCTCTCTCAAAAAAAAATTAAATAAACATGAAAAAAAGTTTTAAATAGGACACTGATGGCAATTTGGATGGGGGTGGGGAGGGATCCAGGAAGACCTTTCTGGGAGTGATATTTAGGCCAAAAGATAAACCACCAGAAAGAGCCAACCATCAGAATCCAGGGGAATGGGGCTTTGCAGACATTGCAAACACTGGTCCTAGTGCAAAGGGGCTGGTGTCCTTGTGGACAGAAAGAAGATTAGTGTAGACAAAGCAAACTATTGACTGATCTTCTTCTGTGCTACACACTGGCGTTGATGCCAGGATAGAGGGGTGCCCTGCTGGGGCCCATTGACTGAAACCAGGGAAGGTACAAGGCTGAACTATGTTGGGGCTGGGAGGCCACATAGGGAGCTTATTCTGTGTTCTATGGGCAACCACTGGAGGTTTGCAGTTGGAGACTGATATGACCTAATATCTATTTTTAAATATTACTCTGCGGTGCAGAGAATGGACTTTGAGGAGCAAGAATAAAAATGTGACCAATTGGGTGGCTGCTGAAGTAGAGAAAGATGGGAAGTCTACATCCTGATTTACTGACGGACAGGATGTAGAACATGAGGGAAAGAGACAATTCGAGGGTGACTCTTGGATGGATGGTGGTTGGATAATCCAGTAGGCCACAAAAATAGGGGAAGACTAGGAGAAGAATGGGGGATGGGAGAGTCAGGAGTTTCATGTGGGGATACATTTGAGATCCCAGTGAGATCCAATGGAAAGTAGGCAGTTGGATGCAGGGATGGGGGGCTTGGGCCCAAAGATACAATGTTAGGAGTCATCATGCAGTGTTTACCCATATCCGTTTTTATGAACTATCCCTGTGACAAAGAGGCGTGGGGGGGCGTGGGGGGAGAAACCAGAGCCATTGCTTGGAGGCTGGGCAATGGCAGGACCATGCAGGAGCTTGGGTACTGGCCCACAGTAGGTGCTCAACAAATCTTGGTAACAGAGTACACTGGTTGCCATTGCTCACAAAGTTTCTTGAGTAGCTTGCTTCTGAAGTAAGGTTTATGGTGGTCACAAGCTTGAGAAAAAGAGGACAGGGATCTTTTGTTCATCTTTAGTTGATAGATTTGGTAAATTAAAGCTGTTTTTTGATGTGATGTGTGGCAATGTTATGGGTGTCTGGAACCGTCAGACTGAAGGTGAAGAGCCCAGCACTGACACCTGCTGTTCCGCATGAACGACAGGCAGAGCCTGCCCATTCTGGGTTTCCTGTCATCTCCTTCTTTGGTGGGAGAAAACAGAGTGAAGTGGTGGACCCATGAGTCCCCCTCGGCTCCATGATATGCCAGCCCCGAGGCAGAGATCTCTACACGTGCATGCCCTTCTCCACCTCTAGACTCAGTTCATGAATGTCAGCCTGGCATCATCTCAAGGGCTTGCACAGCTCCTGAGTGCTCTAACTGAACCCTCACTGCACCTCATCAGGCAGGTACTGTTTCCCCATATTTCACAGGAGATGAGTGAGGTTCTCATAAGCCATATAACCAGCTCCAAATCACATAGCTAATACATATCTAAGCTGCATTTTGAGTTAAAACCAAGACTGTGGTACCAAAGCCTTGATGTCTTTCCCAAATAAGAAACTGAGGCTCCTGGGAGCTCCTGGGAAATGAAGGGAAATGGCTCTCTATGTGGTTAGACACTGTATTCACAAATGCTACTAATGGTGTGGGACACTGGTGTTCCTTCTAGCCCCACTACTTCTAAACTCAGCTAGCCCCTATCCTGCACTCCAGTAGGGGGCGCCATGATCTTCCCACAGATCTGATTTCCAGGACCCATCTCCTAACCCCCTCAGGGAAGCCCACAGCCACCTGTCCCTCAATATTCTGGCCATACCTGAAATAAGAAGTAAATTAAGTGCTAGAAATAATGAAGGGCTGGCGGTGAGCCCAGCATCCTATCCACCTCATGAACCTTGGGTCCACTGAGGTCTTGGGCTCGTTGGCCTGGACTAGCCATCACTCACCTCTTTTGGCCTCGGTGGCTTGGCCAGGCTAGTAGCTAAGGCCTTTCTCACTTAATGGGGAAACCCATTTTTTCAGGAAGTCAGGAGAAGCCACAATTATTAATAATGGAGATTGGGCACTAGAACAGGCCAAAAGTTATGAAGACCTGGGAGAGAAGAGCCCCTCCTGGTACATTAAAGCACACCGTACCCAACTATCTGTAGAACTTCTCACTTTGACACGGATGCAGCACAAATGAAAACCCAGAACACAGGAAATGGTTGACTATATTTTAATAAATCAAAGTCTGGAATCTTAAGACCCTCAAACAATTCCTTAGAACATTCCAGGAAAGACAGACATTTGAGTGCAGATTCACTTATTCCCACATATATTTTTACGTGTACTGAGGTTCCATGTTTACTGAGGGGAGGGGAGCAGAGCAGGGAAACTAGACTCTAAGGTAAGATAGAGTTGAAGGCTAAGTGAGTTAATGGGAACTTTTCAAACGAAACTCCATATTGCTACAAAATGTTTTGTTCTGATTTGCCGTCACAGTAACCTGAAATATAGAAAACAAAGTCATTAATGACAGATAGATGCACCCAGTGGTAAAGGTACATGGGGAATATCATGATAGCCTTAGGGCTCAGCTTTATTTAAGTATTTCTTGTAGGGTTACACCTAGATGTGGCTGTAATTCATCAGCATCCCTCAAGGTTCTTTCTGAAATCCTTTGAATTTCTCTGGGGGCAAGACAGGGGCTGAAAGCATAGGAGCTGCTGTTTGAAAATTTTCCTTTTACTTGTCTTAAATTTGCATCACTGCATGTCTTTTCTTTTATTTAAAATTTTTTTAAATGTTTCATTTATTTATTTTTGAAAGAGAGAGAGAGCGAGCGAGTGCAAGTGGGGGAAGGGCAGAGAGAGAGGGAGACACAGAGCCTGAAGCAGGCTCCAGACTCCCAACTGTTAGCACAGAGCATGATGCGGAGCTCAAACCCACAAACCATGAGATCATGACCTGAGCCAAGTTCTGACGCTTAACTGACTGAGACACCCAGGCTTCCCACCTCACTGCATTTCAAAGGATTGGACGCACATCCTCCTATTTCAGGAAGCGGAGGCCAAATCAGCCTGGTCTTAGCCATTCCGTGGGTGGTTCTATAGAATGTTCACCATGTCCTCTGTCAGGTGCCAGCAGGCGGTTCCACAAGGAGGGTTGGAGTCAAAAACAACCTTGGTTTGCATCCAACTCAATCACCTGTGGGAGGTTTGGGGCAACCTGTGTAATCTTTCTTAACCTGAGTTTTCTCATTGGTAGCATGTGGATCATGAGAGTATCTATTTCATCAGGTGTCTCTGAGGATTAAGTGACATAACTCAGGGAAAGGGCCTGGCGTGGGCCCTGGCTGTGGTGAGATCCTTTGCGCACCCTCCGTTTAGGCGGCTCCCAGGGTGGAGCATCAAAATCTTATTTTTTAATGTTTTTGGTTTGGTTTCCTGTCTGTTTGGTGTGGCATGGGCCAGCTAATTAGATGACTGATGGAAGAGTTCAGTTTTATTCTCTTTTTCTACATTTTAATATTACCCTATTTGGATTTTGAAACTCAGTTTCCCGTGGGAGTGAGTGTCATTTCAAAATAGACTGCACATTTTCCTCCAGAATGTTACTGGATTTTAAAGCAAGATCAGACAGAGGTAGTGCTCGCTTAAGCAGCACATACACCAAAAATAAAAAAGATCAGATAAGGGTAAAATCTATAAAAAGATTCAACGTTTGTTTCAGGGGATCTCAAAAAACGTAAGTGAGGAAAACCAGCTAGTCAATTTCAATTTCACGGTTCTCTAGTTCCAGTTCCATATGAGAAAAAGAGCATTTGTTAAGATGGTTTTGTTTTGGAACTTGCTATGGTGAGGTCTCTCTTTAACTTTTTTTTTTTTAATGTTTATTTATTTTTGAGAGAGAGACAGAGTTTGAGACAGGGAAGAGTAGAGAGAGAGGGAGACACAGAATCTGAGTGTCAAGCTCCAGGCTCAGAGCTGTCAGCAGAGAGCCTGACGTAGGTCTCAAACTCAAGAACCGCGAGATCATGACCTGAGTCGAAATCAGACGTGTAACCCACTAAGCCACCCAGGCGGCCCTCTCTTTAACTTTTGACACCAATGGTCACATTTGCTGCCCGGCTCTTCACTGGGGCACTGACTGCCTAAACAATATTAATTTAGTCAAAATGGTTTTTTTGGGTAGTGTAGCCACACAGACTGGGCCTGGCGTAGCAGATATAAAGGACGAGCTTGTCCTCTGCAGTTTGATTTAATTAAAAGTGCCAGGGTTTTGGAAAAGGGCTTTTGCCCATGCTTTCAGAAACAGCCCCATGACAAGGCCAGTGAAAGATCTGGTCAAGAAAGACCTAGCTGGGCCCAACGGGGCCCCTGAGACTCTTTGTTTTCTCTCTCTTGCAGAAGAAACGCATTTCACTGGCCTGCGACCCAAACTCACTGCCCGCTGACCCCTCAGGGAGAGTGTGCAGTGCTCTGACCCTCACCTCCTCACCCACTCACCGTTGTGAACAATCAGCCTGTACTGCCTGGCCAGGCACAGCTCATCCTGTCTCTGTCGCACGATTTTCTGCACATCCGGGGGAAGGCCCTTGGGGTCGCGGGCAAACACGAAGGAATAGCTGTCGGCACAGGTGCCATCGAGGTTCAGGAGACGGCAGGAGTACTGCACCGCGTAGGTGTCATAGTCGGTGTCGATGATCCAGTGGTCATCATCTGCAAGCCAGAAAACCACATAGCCAGTGCCTCTCCCTCGCCCCACTCCGGTCAAGAACCTGGTGA